GGCCGACAGAGCTTGTGGAAAGTTTCTCCTGGAGATGCGGAACGACTCTCTGGATTTGAAGTTGGTGACTGGGTACGTTCAAAACCAAGCCTGGGAACTCGACCAAGTTATGACTGGAACAGCATTGGAAAGGAAAGTTTAGCTGTCGTGCACAGTGTACAAGATACAGGTTATCTGGAGTTGGCTTGTTGTTTCCGTAAAGGCAGGTGGATAACTCATTACACAGATGTTGAAAAGGTTCCATGCTTTAAAATTGGGCAGTATGTCCGGTTCCGGATTGGACTTGTTGAACCAAGATGGGGCTGGAGAGGGGCTCAACTTGATTCTCGAGGCGTCATAACTAGTGTTCATGCTGATGGGGAAGTGAGAGTGGCTTTCTCTGGTTTGCCAGGATTGTGGAGAGGAGATCCTGCTGATCTTGAAATAGAGCAGATTTTTGAAGTTGGAGAGTGGGTGAGATTAAAAGATCAAGCTGGTGCTTGGAAATCCATTGGGCCAGGCAGTGTTGGAGTGGTGCAAGGATTGGGATACGATGCAGATAAATGGGATGGAACCACTTCCGTTGGATTTTGTGGGGAGCAAGAAAAATGGGTTGGGCCTACCTCTGCACTCGAAAGGGTGAACAGGCTCATGGTTGGCCAGAAGGTTAGAGTTAAACTGTCTGTCAAGCAGCCAAGATTTGGGTGGTCAGGCCACAGCCATGCAAGTCTTGGAACCATATCCACAATTGATGCTGATGGCAAGCTGAGAATATACACTCCAGCTGGTTCAAAAGCTTGGATGCTGGATCCATCAGAAGTGGAACTTGTGGAAGAAGAGGAGCTTCACATCGGTGACTGGGTTAGGGTTAAAACATCGGTTTCAACTCCAACCCACCAGTGGGGAGAGGTGAATCGTACAAGCGTTGGGGTTGTGCATCGGATGGAAAATGAGGAGCTCTGGGTGGCGTTTTGCTTCACAGAGAGGTTGTGGCTTTGCAAGGCATCAGAAATGGAACGGGTTAGGCCGTTTAAAGTGGGGGACAAAGTGAGGATTAGAGAAGGGCTGGTGATCCCACGGTGGGGTTGGGGAATGGAGACACATGCAAGTAAAGGAGAGGTAGTGGGGGTTGACGCAAATGGGAAGTTAAGGATTAAGTTCCGATGGAGAGAAGGGAGGCCATGGATTGGAGATCCTGCTGATATTTCTCTTGATGAAAGCACATGACACCACTCATCCAACTTATGCTTCTTTTTCACAGGCTTCTTCCGCCTACAGGGTTTGTCACCCTCTCGACCGGGTAGACAAGTGGGAATGCCATTGTTACTGCACCATGCAATCGGATCTGCTTGGAAACTATACTTTTGTTGTAATGGGCGCTGAAGGGACAATTTATTTGCTGTTAATACAGAAGATTACAAGAGACTGATAGGAAACGGGGGTAAATTGGCTTGCCTTACTGTTAATTATAGGAGACACAAGGGAGGCGAAGAACGACGTGGCAGTTTGCTGTTTTGTGTTTCATAGATGTGCAGTTGACAAGCTGTTGAGGTATATATATTTATATATATATATGTATAAGGTTATTTTGTATTCTATGTACAAATTGAACCCTTAATCTTATTACTTAATACATTGTTTAGTCCTTCACTTGAAAGCTTTTCTGGTTGGTGTTTTATTATTTTTCCTGTAAACAAATTGGCAGTTGTTACTTTTACGTACGGTGCAACCATTACCGTATATGTTTGAACGAGAGGTTTGCAAGCGCCAAGGGGTTTAAGCTAAATTAGTTAGGAAGGACGTCATCTGTAAATTCTGTTTTTGTTTCATGCAATGCATTTCAAATCCCTCCGTCTAATGTTTGGTGATTCATTTGTAAACTGATTGTCCTAAATCTCTTGGTACTTGCAAATCCCTCGCACAAACATAGCGTTAAAATTACAGGGATAGAGGTCGAGGGGAAAACGTATATCATGGTCCTTTACGTGAATGGTTGAGAATGCAAGTTGGACAGAATGGCCCAAGAACGCAAGAAGGTATCCAAAGCAGATGTGAGAGTAATCGCCAGGACCCATCACAAAAACTTGGGTCAGATTGCTTGGATTTTGTGAAGGCACAAACAAACTTTTAGTCTGAGTTTATGAGCAGTAGCGCATTGGCAATCATTCTCTTTGGAATTTCAAGGCCTGATTTGAACAAACGAATCCAAACTGCATTCGGGATTGCAAGAGGACTCGTGTACCTGCACGAGGAGTGTAGCATGCAGATCATCCACCGTGACATCAAGCCCCACAACATACTTGTAGATGATTCATTCCGATCACTGCAAAGGTTGATGTTTATAGTTATGGGGTCATGTTATTGGAGATCATCTGTTGCAGGAGGAGCCTTGAAATGGAAGCGGAAGACGAAGAAGAAGTGATACTAACAGATTCGGTTTACGATTGCTACAAGGAAAAAAACAATAAAGAAGCTGATAGAGGATGATGAGAAGGCAAGAAATGACATAAAAAGGCTGGAGAGGCTAATCAGCGTGGCGATTTGGTGCATACATGAGGATCCGTCCTTAAGAACGACAATGCAGAAGGTCATGCAGATGCTTGAAGGAGTGGTCGATGTATCCATGTCCTCTTTTTAGTTCAATTTGCTGAAACCTACACGTTACGCATAGTCTTTGAAATGCCAGTGTCACGTGCTCCGCATCTCACATTTTGACACAATAAACAATGGACTAGACTCCTAGTCATTTTTTTTCTTCAGATTTTTGAACATTAGTCCTTGCAAAAGATTAAAATTAAAAAAAAAAAAACCTGGTGCTAGATTACATATTCAATTTAATCCCTTGAAGTGTACTTTTATCCAAATTTATATTCAATTTTTTGTTATTTAATGTGTATTTTTATTTAATTTCTCCACATTAAATTTTAATTTTATTAATATGCACATATTTAGTTCTTTAATTATAAATGAACATAAATGAGAAAATATTAAAAGAAATTTGTGATACAAAAATATATAAATACATAAGTGTACAGAAATGACTGTGCCGAAATATATAAAATTGATTTTTTTGTACCGAAAAATTTGTACCTACATGATTGTACCGAAATATATTATAATGAACCTAAATGTATTATATTGAATTGATGTACCTAAATGTCAATACTGAAATGTATGTACCAAAATGTACGTACCATAATGTTTGTACCGAAATATAGTATATTGAATTCATGTACCTAAAAGTCAATACAATGTGTGTACCAAAATGTATCTACCGAAATGCATTATATTGAATTAATGTACTTATATTTTTGTATCGATGGGTATACCGAAATATTCAAATGTATTAATGTACCTAAATGAAGAACATACAAAATTGTTATCGGAATATATTGTAAAAAAATTAGTTGCCTAAATGTAGACATTAAAATATATTATGATGAATGAAATGAAAATTAAATTTAAATGTAATTAATACATTAAAATTGAATAAAAAGATAAATAAAACATCAAAATATAACTAATAAATGGGATAATTAAATGTACTAGGGACTAACATTGGATTTTAATCTTACACAAGATTATAGTCTAAAACTTATTCTTTTTAAGGATTAAAATGAAGTTCTTTATTTAAGTGTGACTTATCTCATCCATCCCACCAAACAGGCCAAATGGCTTCCATAAGATTAGGATATGTACTCCAGGTAGCACTAGCACGGCCACCAACTATTTCCAAAACCAAAGTTTTACATAAAGAATTCAGATTTGAGTTTTGCAGACAGGTTGTCAGTTAGTTCCAACCCAAACACAAACAAGATTTCAAAACCTCCTCAATTTTACCACACTTTCTTGCCAACTGAAACAGAAACATGCAACTAGTCCTTCAAAAAGCATGCAGAATCTTACTCCCACCGTGTAGCGTTGTTGGCAAGTAATCTGCTGGTGCTAGGTCTGGACCTTAACCACTATCTGAACATGCTTGACGACGAACGAAAAAGAAATGGACCGTGAGATGATGGATACGGGATCCTCGTTGGCGGAAGCTAATAACTCAGGGACAACACCAGTTATTGAAAGGCAACACCAGTCCTAAATCCATGAGAATTTCGGAAGCTAGTAAGTCAGGGACAATCTTAAAACTTTGGAACTTTGAATGCACCAATTACTTCCGCTTCACATCGCCAACCACATCGATCGCCGTCGATGAAAGCACCTCCAATTGACCACGGCTTCTCTGCTCAAATCGGCTCCCTCTCAAGCCGAAGTACCACTCTGAAGAAACTACATACTCATTGATGCGAAATCAGCTTCTCTGCTCAAGTGACAGGTGCTAAGGTGCATATGCTAGTACCGAAATGTTGCTACCTTAGTATGTTTTTACCTAAGACGGTCAGGGTAGCTACTATCCCGAGAAGTGTGACTAGGCAAGCATTTATGCCAAGTTGGGTTGACAAGAGAGCTTAAGGAAGATACTTTGAAGACTCCATATGTGTTCTGTTGAAATATCCCACGTTGGGTAGAGACAGAAAAAATAAAAAAAGTTTAAATATCATAACCCTCCTACTACTATCGAGGTATTTTGTGATAAAATTCCCCACCTGTCAAATTATGTAGGTGGTAACAAGTTAGAGGACAATATCAGTATTGTTAGAGATGGACCTTTGATCCGTCTTTTTGATAATTTGATATATTAGTGCTTCGAAGGTGAATAATTACATTATTTGCTTCTTTCAGAAAACGCTCGTTTCTGCACATCTTTAAGTAACGCCCAGGTGAAACAAGTGGCGTCCATGCAAACAGAAATTGATCGTTTTTGCACATCTTTAAGTAAGCCTAGGTGAAACAAGTGGCGTCCATGCATGCATCCGTTTCGGATTCAATTGTCATGACCTTCGGGACGGCAGATCCCTGGCCTCTACGGATTTACAGTATCGGTGTTGTCGAAAAATAGTGGAGAAGTCCGATCTAGCTAGCTGCAAATCAAAGCAAAAAAAATGAAGGTAGCGATCATCTCAAGAAAAATGATCAAACCATCCTCTCCAACTCCTAACCACCACAAAAACTTGAAGCTCTCTCTTTTGGACCAAGCATTTCCTCCATCCTTCTATGCAAATACCATTTTCTTCTACTCTTCAGACAGCAACAGCAACCATGGCCATAACTACGGCGGCGACGTCACCTCCCAGCAGCTTGCATGGGAAAGGTCTGACCGATTACAGAAGTCGCTGTCCAAAACCTTGGTTGCTTTCTATCCATTCGCCGGGCAGCTCAAAGACCAAGTCTCCGTTGAGTGTAACGATGAAGGAGCTTATTTTGTAGAAGCCCGAAGTAACTGCAGCCTCCTGGAAATTCTTTCCAAACCCGAACACAAGTTACTTCCCCACTTTATTCCTGCATTCAATGCCGATGAGCAGTTGGGCAGTGCTGTTCTGCTTGTTCAATTCACGGTCTTTAACTGTGGAGGAATTACTCTTGGTGTCTCCCATTCACACAAGATCGCCGACGCATCATCTACATGCACTTTTTTCCAAAGATGGGCAGCCAGTACCCTCGAGTTGGAGTCCGTTAACAACCATGATCGAATCTCTGCAGTTAACAACCATGATCAAATCTCTGCAGTGCTTCCGGAGTTCGTTGGATCATCATTGCTGCCACCTTCGGATATGCCCTTCTCATCCAGCTATGTCATGAACATGGCGCCAGAAAATTTGACCACAAGAAGGTTTGTGTTTAGTGCTCCAAAGATAGCCATCCTCAGTGACAAAATTAGTAGACTTCTTCAACAGTGTGGAATTAATATAACCCCCACAAAAGTGGAAGTTGTATCTGCAGTTTTGTTCAAATGTGCTAATGCTGCGAGGAGATCATCAAATCCTTCGGCAACATTTAAGCAGGCAGTGGACTTACGTCGAAGAATATCTCCTCCGCTGCCGGAGAACGCTATAGGGAATCTGGTCTGGTCGTTTCAACTGTTGGTCGAAAATAAAGACATCAAGTTGCATGAACTGGTTGCTGAGATGAGGAGAGGCTCTGCAGAGTTTTGTAACGAAAAGGCAAATAGGTTGAAGGGTGAAGAGGGTGTGTCTTTGGTTTTTGAGGGCAACAGAGAGGAGTTTGAATTTGGTAAGATGGGAATCCCGATGTATTGTTTTGCAAGCATATGGAGACATCCGATGGATGAAATGGATTTCGGGTGGGGGAAGCCCATTTGGTTCACTTTTCATATGTGCTACAAGAACACTATAATGTTGTTGGCCGGTACTCGAAATGATCAAGATATTGAAGCTTTGGTGACCTTGGAAGAACAAGAGATGACTAGATTTCAACGCGACGAGATGCTTCTTGCAGTTGCTGCCGTGAATCCAAGCGTAGTTGTCAGTCACTGCCGCATGTGATGGAGGCGCCGGGTGGCGGTGAACTTGTTCCACCAATGTCCGTCCTTCATGTGATGATGCGCTATGAAATTAGTTTTTTTGGTTATCTATGAAGAAATAAAGTTACTTTGTAAAAGACAACAAGTTTTTTCATGATTTGTTTGTTTAATTACATGATTTTTTTTTTTTCATGTCATGAATAGAATGAGACGGTTTGATTTGAATTTTAAGTTGTTTTCAATTTCAATATAATGTTTTCGTTCTTCTTTGTTCTTCGTCTCCCTCAAACTACTCTTCTTCATCCCTTATCTTAAACACAAAAATTAAAGCTAAAAACTTAAGAGCTGTATGTTAATTATTTCGTTTTTTTGTTTTTAATTTTTTTGTTCATTTCTTTTGAAAATAGAGAATTGAAATCTTATTTGGTAACTATTTTTAGTTTTTAGTTGGTAACTATTTTTAGTTTTTAGTTTTGAAAGATAGTGACAAATGAAAACTAAAAGTAAAAATTCAGGGCTAAATTTTGAAACTTAAGAAGCTAGTTTTTAGTTTTTGGTTTTCAATTTTCATTTTTATTAGCTAAAAACTGAAAGTAATTATCAAACAAGATTTCAATTTTTAGTTTTGACAAAATAAAAAACTAAAACTAAAAACGATATAATTATCAAACCGCCTCCAAAATAATTATCCAAAGAACATTAATATTGGCAGTTCAGAAGCAACGACAGTGAAGTACAGTAGCATCGTTAAGGCATTGCATTCACCTTCTTTTTCACTCTTCTACCAATTTTTCTTACTCACTATAGTTTTAACGAAATATTCTAAATTACTCTAACCTACAAGGACGGGAGGAGCGGGATTGAACTCAGGTGCAAAAGGAAACAATATCTTTGAATCGGAGCTTCGGAAATTTGTTTCCAACTTTACAATAATGTACTACTGCAGATGCAGAATATGGCAAGTAAACGTTCGGATATGCACCAGAAAATGTTCATACATAAAAGTGAACATCTACCAAAGATAAAACATTACACTCTGAATTAAAATATCAGAGAGATCAACTGGTAACAAGAATACACTTTAAGGGACAGTGACTACGTAACTTCCAACGGTAATATCGTTGATCGTTTTGTTACTTGATGACCAATTGATGAACAGAACAATGCCCCGAGAAAACAATTCCAGCATGTGTGTATTTGTTCATGAGCGTGCAACTGAAATCGCCTTTGTTCACGTTCACACACCCAACTAGCAAGTCAATGTTACATCCTCCTCCCCTGTACCTATCTTCTTTTCTGCATGCCACTTTGAGAAGCCTCCCTCCAGGGCATCCCTCATCCATTCATGCCGGCAACTCACGATAGCCTCTGCTACAGTCAGCCATGTTCTGTCTCGGGTGCTCTGTTCAGGCCATGACTCAAGCTCCTCTTTCACAAACAAAGCAAACATAGAAGCTCTACATACACCTTCCGGACTGAACTCGTCCTGGTGTGTTTTGCTCTTAAAATAATAATACCCCAGGAAATCCTGCAAATCAAATGGATAAACAGTTGCTTTACTTTATACGTGTACTGTGAAGAGAAGGGCAACATACAAAAAACTTTGGCATAAGAATTCTAGAAAAACACCCAGCAGGCATACAAACACCCAGTGCTAATATACAAAGCCAACCAAAAAAAATTATACATAGTTATTCTTCTCCATGACAGCACAAACATATTGATTAAATTGGACATCGGCTCCTGAAATTTAATAACCCCCGAGTTCCTTCGTTTATCAATAAGATAGGATAAAGAAAATCGCTACTCTGGATTTCAATTTCCTGAAGGGCCAGCCCAACCGATTTATGGTTTCTACAACTAATAAACCCCCTGGTGCACACAGAGCTTACACACAGTTCTGTCAAGGTAAATCATAATGCCCACAACGAAAACTAACATGTCTAAAACTAAATACGTAAAATGGATCTAGTGACAACATTAGACCTACTGCTCAAGTCTTGTGAAAGTTAAGGCAGCTTTAAAAAGAATACACATGGAGAGCTATTACAAGGAAAACCAAGCCCAGTGTAAAAAATTTAAAGCTTTTGTGCTCAACATTTGGAATGTGATTGTGTTATTAGGCAGATGGTCTCACAACAAATTAAAAAAAGCATAAAAACTAATCCCCAACAACATTTCTATGTTAATCACAAGAAATCCAAATCAAAACACAGAAACAATTTAAACAATTCAAGCCTTCAATAGATGAGGAGAAATTATTCAAACAATTTGGAGACCAAAATATGGCAAACATGAAGGAAAAAAAAAAAAAGATCAGAACAAAATAAAAGTTATGACAACGTATTTCACCATTAGCTCTCCCCGAACTCCAGCTTCTTCAACAGCTTCCCTTACGGCAGCCTGCTCAACAGTTTCATCATTCTCCCAGCCTCCCTGCATGTGTATAACATATTTGTTAAAAAAAAAATAAAAATAGCAAAATAGTCCCACAAACCCAAAAAAGCACACAATCACTTTGAGGGGTATTTTAGCCTTATAAACCATAAAATTGCCACCTTCTACAAACAAGTCTACAATCAGATGTGTGTAATATGTCATTTTCTAACTAGCAAGGGAAGTGCCAAAAACTTCAGACTCATTAGAAATTGATTTCTGAGGAAGCCAACATCCCAACTTAATGCAAAAGGAGTTCATACAAATTCTAGCAATGGGTACGTTATGATGGGTTGAAAATAACGGTGAGTGATATCACAAAACTATAGTACTAATTAAAAATAAATAAAACTCTCCTTGCAAAATCTGTCCCTCTACCAGTTTACTATATTTCTCAAGAAAATCATCTTGAGAAAAAGAAAATCATGCTGAGGAAAAAAGTCCGAAAGTGTTAATATAGTTCCAATGCTAAGAAGGCACTATAACCATAACAAAAGTATCCATATCTGCATTTGCATATCTTGTGCAAGCGAAAACAACAATTCTGTTCCCAGCCTTGCAGATGTCAAAACATAAGTGATACTACATGTCTATGGTTACAGCCAATAGAAAATTTCTAATATTTTCTGCTCTAGATTTTCAAAGCTCAGGGTCATGAGATGGTACTTAAATGTATCTATAGGTATCAAAAGAAAAGAAATTAGTTTTAACCACCTAAATGTTTTCCAGAAAAAGCAATCTTAACAACTTTAATTCGATCTCGACCCCTATCCCTCAAGCATAAGTTATTTTGAAAATAACAACTTTAACTCATTTTTACCGTTAATCAGTTAGTGAGGCGACAGAACAAAAGTAAAATAGTAATCTATATAAAAAAGGGTATCCATAAAATAAGGTCAGGAAGAAGGACCACACAGTTCTTAAAATTTTAAACTCCAGCAGAAAATAACATACCTTTGGAAACAAAAGACCAGGTCCACTAGGTGAGTTAATCATAAGCACCTCAATGATCTTCTCAGAATTGGCATCATCAGTCTCATCAGAGCTTTTGTATCTAAACGGAATACACCTGTCAAGGTCATCTCAGTTAGCTTCTTCGTATCAGAGAAAAAAAATACTTGTTCAGATACATAAAACGTAACAGCAAGTAATCTCGAATATAATTTAAAATTACTTATACAAAAACGAAAATCCTATGCAAATATGAATGTCTGTACGGTCGCTCAGCCCTAGCAAATAATTTATTGTATAACCAATAACCATACTACCAAGCTCACCCTTTATATGTATGATCGACATAGAAATATCAATAGTATACTCTACTGGTGACATATTTTGTGATATATGGATAAACGAATTTATATGGTGATTCTTGTCAAGAAAAAAAGAATTTATACAGTAATACTTCACTTCAAAACAAAAATAAAGCATCTTTCATCAATGCTTAGTAATGACTAGAAATTGCAAGGTGTGGAGTCCATTGACAACCTGTTAGTACTAAATCAACTACTTTAGTAATTTATTACTCACAAAGAGCTTCTGTTAAAGGCTAAGAAATTTAGCATAATTATGGAAGCACCAGAAGACTTCTACAAAGAGAAAAGCCTAAAGAATCCAATCTGGATAGCTTCTCTGTGTCCTCAGTGTCTTTTTTCTGCTTTTTCACCTTGTCAAATTTTGAAAGAACTATGTGAACAATCACCAGCATGTCACATTGGCTTTTCCATAAACACAGGATAATACAGAGAACCACACCCTTGACATCTCTCCCAACCAAAATATAGCCATGAAACATATTGCTATAAAGGTTTTCCAATTTTGTGCTACCACACAATGATTCAACTCCTTGACTTATCAATGCCCACAATGATTGCATCAATGAACATTACCAAATCATATGGACGAAATAATCTTGTTTATTGCATCAGCATTTTACCCTATTTCCAGTTCTCCTAACCCTCAAACCGAATATGACGTAGTTAATGAAGGCCCAAAAGCTTACAAAGTTGAAGAAGCCTAACCACGCCATATCCGTCCCTTTCGTATGTGAAAAATACATTTCACATCGAAAAATTACAAACGAAACTCAGATAAGTCAATACAAGGCCATTGTTTGTCCTAATAAACCCACATATCTACCTACCCTATATAATAAACATGTATAATCAATAAAACAAAAGAACCCCATTAATCCCCACTGCTTAAAAAAATTCCCAAATGGTTGCCATCAAACAGAATCCTCCAACTTTGGAGACACATTGGTCCACCTCCACCACCAGAACACCACATAAACAAACAACATCAACATCAATCCAAATCAAACATATATAAACAAATAATATAAACACACACATAAACATGTACATATATATATGTATTATATGGAAATATCTATATATGTGCAAAGAAGAAATGTAAGTACCCGGCAACAAGGCGACATCCGGCCTCGTAGCGTTGCTGATGCCGACCCGTACGGGCCACTATATCACACATACTAAGCGCCCAAGCCAACAAAAATCAATCCTTTTTTTCTTCTTTTTTGACAATCTTCAACAATTTCTCTCCTCCTCTTCCGCCATTGAAATCGTTCTGGTTCTTTGTTTTGGTTTTTTACGCGATTGTTACAATATCACGCCCGCACCGGATAACGCGCCAAGAACTGGTTCTCTGGGCTTCGACGGCGGCGACCGGCGCTCCCTCGCATCATCCAATGGCTGTAGATTTCAGATTTCGTTCTGGTTTTTTTTAGGGTTTGGCTGCAGAGGGAAAATGAAGGGTGGTTCACAGAGAGAGAGAACGAAAAAATAAAAATAAAAATAAAATAAATAAAAGCGCTTTTAACGGATCTAATCGGACGGTGAGGTCTCAAAGTCACGTGGTTGATAGGTCAAACGGGGCCCCACTTTTGGGAGAAAATACTTGTGTGTATAATTGTGTCCTGTATAGTATATATACACGCGGTTGGATTTCACTGCCATCCGTACACGTGGCAAGATGTGGACGATTTAGCTGACGTTTGGTTATGTTATTGGTTTCAGGGGTTGTCAATTTGGCACAGAGTAGTTGCCCGTTGCAGCGGATTATTTAATCGGAGGAAGAAGTCAGCGGATTAGTGGTTCACGACATGCTGGTTTTACTTTTGCGCTTTTGTAGGGAACGGTGGCGATTCAACGCCGGTATCCTATGAGGTCTTCTGGTCCGTTGGATTGAGTTCTTTGTTATTTAGGGTCTTACTGGTTTTTTATTTTATCAATGCAGAGGCTGGATTAAGATTTGAGTAACTATTCTAATTAATAGTTAATTGCTGGTGTGAGGAACGAATTCCACGTAAACGTAGAATTACTTTGGTGTGCTGCAATTAAGAGAGAAAGACCAGTAAGACCTAACCACACCGATGTAGTGTGAGGCAAAAGCTCTCTGATGCTTAAGTTAAACTTAATTGTATAGTGGTCGACATGGACCTGAGGATGATCGTTAAGCATGCATGGCGCTTTCTAAGTGGTTGGTTAATTTGACTCACGTTATGATGCAACAATGATGAAGGGCACCAGTCAAGAGTCTCTTGTTAAGAGATAGATAATGTTCAAAGCTTGGAAAAAAAAAAACTACAAATCACACTAACATGGCTCGCTTTTAACATAAAGCTTAGTTTTATGAGCAAGGTCTTGACAGATTTAGCGATGAAGAGAGAGAACTTTAAGGGCTCTCTAAACGTTAAAACTATAAGGTCAACTGTCGCACTGATGCAACAATGATGGTAGATTGGTTGTGCCTTGTGCAGCAATGGATCTAATGCTAAAGGAACCCGTGGTGGTGGATTTGATGCTATATATGATGGTGGTGGCTGTGGTGCTACTATGGGACCATGGTGGTGCTTCAACTTTGGTGGTATTTTTCTATTGGCTTCTTCTTGAAGCAAATGTTTCAACTTTGAAGCATTTATATCTGCAGAATGGTTATCTTAGATCAGCTTCTTATTTTGCTGGGTTCCACAGTTTGAATCTCTTCGGCTGCTCTCCAATACTAGAGTCCTTGAATTCTTGTGCATCAAAACCATGGCCATCGGAGGTGATTGAGTGTTTCCACAGAGGGAATATTCGGGTTTCTGCCCCAAAACTTACCTATTTCGGATATCACAATCTGGCTGCCCTCAAGGATAACACCTTTACCACTAATGCTCCTGAATTGACAAAGACATATACTTGTACACATACGAAGAACCTCATCCAATTTCACACTTCATTGGTAGTCGTCGGCTTGAAAACCTCTACCTGCGCCTATCTTTTTCTTCTCAGGTAAGCTAAACTATAGTGTATTAATTATTAGAGGATGTATTAACTTCAGTCTGTGACGCCATACATATTTTGTGGTAATATGTTTGAACTTCACAGAGAAAGAATGTCAAGAAACATAGTCCCGCTTGGGATTATCTTAAGCAATTGCAGTTGCCTTTCATGGTACGTGTGATGTTTTCGAATGTTCAGATTGAAAGCGACAATGAGAAGCTCCATTGTTGATCTTTGTAAAAACCTAGGAAGCTTTGAGGTTAGTGAGAGAAGGCAGACGAATTAGCTGAATATACTGAATTCTCATTACAAAGAGTGGATTAATTCCACCAGTGTATGTACATCAGCTAAGCTTGGCTTAAGAGCTAATCATATTAATTAAATACAACCAGAAACATCCCAACTTAATGAACTGGCATTTAGGATGCAGGAGAGTTTATATTATCATCCCCTCAACCCAATGATTGGACGAGAGGTATGCAGACCCTTGGTGAGTACGTCTGCAATTTGGTTGCAACTGGGAATATGTTGCACATGAATGTGTCCTCGAATAACTTTGTTTATACCATACTTAGGGCATCCGTATTTAGATCTCTTATAAATACTCGGAGGACTTAAATGTAATTATGTAATAAAGGAAGAGGCAAATATGTAATAAGTGAGGAGCCCTTATTCTATAAAAGGACTCCTCACTCTCCTCATTAGGGGAGGCCATTTCTTAAGCCTCCTCAGATCCCCTAAGCTCTAAGCTCTCTCATGCTCTCTCCCTCTTCAACATCTTAGAGAAATATAATATATCAGTGTGGACGTGGCCCAAACCTTGGGGTGAACCACGATACATCTTGTGTTATTTACATTTCTTGCAGATTCACGGTCGGATTTACGTTATTCCAAGACCTCCAGTTTTGTGCATCAACAAACTTGTTCCCTAATGAAATGAAAATTGATTTCTGTATGCTTCGTGCATGCATGAAAAACAGGATTACTTGCAAGAGCGATTGCAGAAATATTATCACACCATACAATGGAGGAGGATCCAGATACACAAGTAAATCCCACAAAAGTTGATGCAACCATGAACTCGTTTGACAGCAGCTTAGTGAGCTTCAGTTGGTGTATGCATGAGTTGACATAAAATAGTTCACAGTGAAGGCACCGGCTGGCCTATTAAAGGTGAGATATTGTAATATTCCTACTACTATACTTCGATAAAGGGTTGGATCCTATAGAGGAACTTGTAGAAAATGATTTCCTTGTTTCATTCATTCCCAAAGTTACATGATATATAGAACACATTTGATACAGTAATTAATTACAATTGAAATCACCAAGTCAACCCTATACAACATTCTAAATTTAACTTAATCAAGAGGATTGGGGAGAGATATATGGAGATGGTAGAGTCTCACTAACAGCCCCCCCAAACACAAAAACTGGACGGCCTAGTGTGTACAAGTTTGGAGCAAAGAAAGGTGTGACGCGGCTTATGCAGCACCTTATTAGTGAGAACATCGGCAGGCTGATTAATGAAGGGAAAAAGTAAACGCGATGACTACCAACATCGACTTTTTCACAAACGAAGTGGTAGTCAAGTTCGATGTGATGAGTGCGAGCGTGGAAGATAAGGTTGACAGCCATGTAGGTGGGGCTGAGATTGTCGCAATAATGCGCTGAGATTGACAGCCATGAACAAGAAACTGTATAGATACATCAAGTTCGTAGAGAAGATAAGATAACCATGTTGTTTCTACACAAGAGTGAGAAAGAGACCTGTACTTGGACTTGGCACTGGATCGAGCAATAATGGGTTGTTTCTTTGAGCACGAAGAGACAAGATTCGAACCCAAATAAATTAAGTAACCACTAGTAGAATGGCATGTATCGGGGCATCCTGCCCAATCGGCATCTGAATAAGCACAAAGTGGGCGGTGCATGACTAAGGTCTAAATACAAGACCATGATCGAGAGCCCTTTTGACGTATCGAAGAATACATTTGTCGGTAATAAGATGAGGAACACGAGGGGCACTTATAAACCGAGAAACTGTATTCACCGCATAAGCAATGTCGGGACGTGTCAATGTGAGATATTGAAGGCAGCCAACAAGTTCATGAAATTCCCTTGGAGAAGGGAGGAGAGGACCATCGGTATTGGACAAAACCACCTTGGCAGCGATGGAGGTATCAACTAGCTTACAATGTTCAAGGTCATGCTTTTGTAACAAATCATTAACATACTTTAATTGGTTGATGTGCAGTGAATTACCATGAGTAAGAACTTGCAATCCCAAAAAATATTGAAGGGGGCCAAGATTTTTGATGTTGAAACCATTGCCCAATGCATCAATAAAAAAATTATCACTACCAGTGAGAATAATATCATCGACATATAAGAGCAAAAATATGGTGTTATGACAAAACCCATAAATGAAGAGTGATGGGTCAACAACACTTTGTGTGAAGCCTACGACAATGAGAAATGAGCTAATATGATGGAACCACGCTCGAGGCGTCTGTTTAAGACCGTAGAGAGATTTGTGTAGCTTGCACACATAGTTAGAGCTATTGGGGTCAATGAAACCTAGACGTTGAGTCATGTAAACGTCTTCTTGTAGGAACCTATGAAGAAATGCATTTTTGATGTCGAGTTGGCTTAGTGGCAAACCACGAGAAATGACAACACTTAGAATTGTTCAAATGGTGGTAGGTTTTACAATTGGGCTAAAGGTCTCACCATAATTAACTCTGGGTTGTTGATGAAAACCCTTGGCCATTAAATGAGCTTTATAACTCTCAATAGACCCTTCAGGCTTTCGTTTAATCTAGAACACCTACTTGGAACCAACTATGTTATGACGAGGGGAACGAGGAACTAGAGACCATGCATTATTTTTAAGCAAAGCATTTATCTTCTTGGACATCGTAGAGCACCACTCATGACTTTTGGAGGCTTGAAAAAAACAGGTGGGCTAAAGTTCCGAGATTGTCGTAAGGAGAGCTTTTGGCAGAGAGTAACGCATTGTGCCATCGGTGGGTTATTTGGGCTTGGTGATTTCAAGGCGTAGACGTGTTACCATTGGGTGCATTGAACCTGAGGGGGCTTCATGAGTGGAATGATCAGTGATGGCATGTGTGCCGTGGGCCAAGAGGGATGCATGATAAAACAAGATATTATTTTCAAGGGATGCATGCGGTGAGTCAACAGATAGGGCAGTTAGTGCATCATCACGTGGTGCAGGCGATGAAGCATCATTGAAGGGAAAAGATACAGCCGGTGGAAATGGTGTTGTCGGTGAAGATGTCAAGGGAATATGTAGAGGTGCAGTCAGTAGAGCTGCAGTAGACGCAGCAGCTGCAGCCCGTGAGTTCGGTGGTTGGCTTGGCATGTCATTTGTTAGGGGAGGAACTTGCGGAGGAGGAGAATGCAATAGGCTAGGTGGGCTCGACAACGAAGGCTGCGAAGGTGCAATGGGCTGAATATCCAACAAAATTGTTGGAGATTCACGAGAGACCTGCAAGT